GCGCTGCCTTGGCTCGTCCCTCCTCTCCGCCTGTGCCCCCGCCACCGCCACTGCAGTGGTGCTCGGGGCCGGAGGACCAGGTTTCCCGCACAGAAATCTCCCTTCAGCGGGATCTCGCTCCGGACATCAGGCTGGCGAGAGGGGGAGACGCAGGGGGTGTAGGTTTGCCATCAGGGTGGTGGGGGTAGGCTGGGAGGGGGGGGACGACACGACCCTCAACAACCCAGGGCTTTAATCTCCGATGCTAGCCAGGGTGTCTTCTAATTACATCCACAGGAATTTGTCAGTGTGGAGCCGTGCTGCAGTCCCGCTTGTGTCGCTTTCCTGCCCGCTGTTTGGCTGCTGTTGATTCCTGCTTCCTGGGCTATTTTCCTCACGAATAAGTTATTGCTGCCGTAGGGAAGGTGTCCCATTGCTCAGGGCTAGAGCGGAGGGGAGCGAAGGGGAAGTTTCTTGGGAAGCACTCCCATTGTGCTCAGAAAGAAAGTGGCTCAGTGTCCTCCTAGTGCATCTCATTTCCCCTCTGCCCTCTCTCCCCTGCTAGGACTCGCCAGATCTTGGGAGTTTCTTGCTGCATTAATTTACTAAACTAAAAAAAAAAAAAAAGAAAGGGAGGGGGTGGTGGAGAAGAGGGAAGGCAAAGGGGAGGGGGTAACTCAGCCTCTCCACCATCCCAAGGCCCTCCTCTTAGCTGTGCTCATTGGTCTCGGGGCTAAAAAAACTACTCTAGGATGTGGTTGGATAAACGCATGTTGTTCAGCAGAAGCTGTTAACCTCTAAAGTGCTGATACGTTTTGGTTTATTTCAATTTTTTTAACCTGAATCCCTGTCTTTTTAAGAAGTCTCTGAAATCGTCTACCTTGACAGGGCAAGCGTAACGTGCCTTAAGTCTCCATCTCGTGGAAGATCTGCTTGGCTAGCAGTTGCTATGTGTTGCTGTTGGCTTTTAAGGAACATCTCTATGTTGTTTGTTGTGGGTTTTTTGTGGTGTGTTTTTTTTTCCCTTTTCTCTTTGCTTTATTTGATTTTTTTTTTTTTTTTTTCCCTTTTGTATTTGGTTTTGCAAAGAGGTTTGGCAAACACCAGAGCCATCAAGGCTGGGGCAGGTAAGGAGCATTTAGCAGTTTATAACAGCTCCAGCACCCTGGGCTCCGGCTGTGCTCGCAGGGTGCTGAGTGTGGTGGTCGGGGTGGGGAGGAATGGGCTCCTTAGTCGCTTTGTCAGCCTGTCACTCTGCTCGGCTTCTCATCAACTTCTGAGAATGGAAATTAAAGCTTAACTCTCCTAAATTATCTACGATTTCTCTCTTCTCTCTAGTCCTGCTGTAATGGGATTTTTCTTCTTGAAGTTCTGTTTTGTTTACTTGTCCTTTGCTTTGCAAAACTCCCCATGGCAAAGAGTCACTTTTATCTCCTTTTCAGCTGTTTTTAATCTGCTTAAAGACTCGTCCCATCCCATATTGGGAGGGTAGCGGTGAAATGGACTGCTTGCTCCACCACTCCTGTAGCCCCCCGGGCTAGGAAATAACCAAGTTTTTCTTGTCACTTTGGGTTGTATCTCAAAGGAACTTACTGCCATACTAAAAGTCACCTGATGTTTTTGATCTCCTGTTTTTACTTGTTTTAAAGCAGTATGTTTACTTAGCTAAGCAGACAGAAACACCCTTTGGGTTGTCGTTCAAAAGAAAAGGGAAGAAAGACCTGCTTTGTTTCTAGCCATTGATATAGAAGGAGTTTAATCTAATTTACTCCAGCTACTGTATCTCAGTGTCTAGCTAGATTAATAATGAGCTCTGATTTCAACTCATGGAGATTCCTGGGGATGCGAATCCATGCAGTATTCCCTGCCTGCTGCTTACTGGCTCCTTGCTGTACTTTCTCTCCTGATATTTATTCCCTCATGGATGTGCCTCTGTCATTGAGCTTTTCCAGCCCCCAGTGTGCTGATAGACCAGAGGAGGAGCTCCAAACTGGGAGTGTTAACAGGATCTGTGAAGCAGGAGAGAAATAGTGTTTCCCTGCATTTTTACTGGGAAGCAGGACAAAGAGCAGGAGTCAGAATCATCTCTTGGCATCTGCAGGTTAAATCTAGAGGCTGCTCAGCCTTCTGGTCCCTTAGAAATGGGCTCTGTAAAAGAGAAAACTGCCTCGTGATTTCTCCCTTGGTCATAAGTTTGATCTTCTTTATACCAAAGGAATTCAGACTTGTCTCTTTTTGTCCCCACTTGCTCTCCTTGCACTACCTTAGATTAGGGGAGCAGGGTGACTGTGAATAAGATCAAGAAAGCAGATGAATCTCTGTGTGTATATAACACAGAGAAGCTTCACAATTATTCCTGTCAAAGGGTCTCAAAACTGCTTTTCCCAGGGAAAGAACTTAACTGCTTTGCTGTCATCTATCCTGTTGATGATGGTGACTTGAGTGATTTGTGTGGGCCCAAGGACTCTTCTGCTGGTATTCAAACATTCCTTCTTACTGGAGAGAAAAATACTAGTATTATTTGCCATGGCATTTGGGGAAACAGGCAAAATTAGGTTGCAATAGATGTTTGGAGCTGGTCTAGGCATCAAGCTGATTTAGATCAGGGAGTAAAATAAAAAAGAAATGTAAATTTAAGGGATGTGAGTTCAGTTTTGTATGTTTTATCAGAAGGACCCTCAAGGTGCCTGCACCTTCTTCATTAAGTGTTTTGCTGTGATTGGAAAAGGAACATATTCTGGATAAAACTTTCCTTGTTGGTGTGTGGGTGTGTTGGTTTGGTGGGTTTGGGGTTTTTTTTTGTTTGGTTGGGGGTATTTGTTGTTTTGTTGTTGTGGGGTTGTCTGGGGTTGTTTGGTTTTGTGAGGTTTCTTTGTTTTTGGCTAGGGATCTCTGCCTCTAGACAGTATGTTCTTGTATCTCCTCCTGGTGCCAAGGCAGTTGTTGCTTGCTTGCCTTGGTACAGAGCGTGCTGCTTGTATGTGTCAGACTTTGCTCAAAGCGGCTGCAGTTTCGTGGAGTTCCCATCCTCTGACTTAACCCAAATGATTCAAGAAAAAGCCAACCTACCCCCACTGAACCCCATCTGTAGGGATACCCATAGTGAAGTTACCCATATTGGTTCTATACAGTACTTGATTTTTAGTTTCCTTTTGCTATCCAACAAGCTAAGGGCAGATAAACTAGAAATCAGGTCTGGAGATCTAATAAGGCCTGGGAGTCAATTTTATCACCATTGTAACCCTTGTCATCAAGTACCGCTTGGCAGGAGTCCTTTCTCTGGATCTGTCCTGGCTTGCTCTTAGATTGGGTTTTAGCTCTCTGCTTGGTTTTGCTGCAGTGTTTTGTGAATTTTGGGAGGGTTTACTTGCCAGGTCTCTTATTTTTTCAAGATGAGTCCAAATAGTTTTGAAAGGCATTTGTCTTTCTCTGGTGGCACTTGTACAAATGACAGAGTTGAAGATAACTTATCATAATGTCAAATGAGGCTCTTAAAATTAGAATTACCTGCTGTGCATTCACCTTGTTGTTGTTTTTATTAGTTTGTTTCAAAGTAGATGAATCTTGTAAAACTTGCTGTAGCTGAAGTTGTCTGGGAAGCTTCTGCGTCATTTTTCTAGGCTGTGAGTGGTGGATTCTGTTCAACGTAAGATACCACAAAGATGGTTATTGCAGGGTAACTGCTGGAGTAGGATAAAATGTCTTCTCATTTAAGAGGTCAGTATTTACATCTAAACTTTCAGGAGCAGGTTAATATTTTAAAAGTTGCAGCTGATGGTGAAGTGTCACCAGTGCAATAACCAACAGATGGGACTGAATTCTGAGCAGTGCTAGGCTTACTTTGTTGGAAAGGAAGTTGCTGGGGATGTAGGATTTGGGCTGAGGACGCTTGTTCTATGACAGAGGGCTAGATCTTGACTCTGTCTTATCATAATAATCTCATTACTGTCTTCACTGCAGGTGAACTTGATTTTTATCCTTCTTTATGGTGATTCAAACCTTTCAGTTAGCCCTGATGGCTGAGGACTCTGTAATGACTTAGTCCAGTCAGTGCAGCTGGTGTTTTTCCTGTTTTTCTCCACTTGTTCTTAGTATTTTAGATAGACAACTGGTCTTTTTTTTTTTTTGTTTTTTTTTTTTTTTTTTGGCATCACTGGCTTCTGATGTTTTCTGTATGAGATCTTAATCTTCGGTGATATCGTGGCTGGCTATTCTACAAATACTGATTACCAGAAACAGGATATGACTGTAAACAAGAATGGGCCATTAGGTGGCTGGTAGGATGAGATGCAGCTGTGGAGGGAGACGAAGGCAGGGATACAACAAAGAATTTGAGAAATAACACTTCTGCCTTGGGCTCTCTGGGCACGAGGTCTAACAAAGTTAGAAGTGAGTCTAGCCAAGACAGTGAAGGTTATGACCTTGAAGGGTACCTGCAAGGTATAACTCTTCAAGAAGAAGGCGTTGCTGTTATACATTGCTGGGTGGACATTGTACCCCCATCACTGAAATGCAGAACTACCACAAGATCCCCTGAAAACCAAAGGCACATAGATGGAACAAAGAGATGAGTTGAAGCCATGGTTAATTGTATAAGACGATTGTACAAGATACCATCTCCTGGCCTATCTCCTCTTCTCTCTCAAAAGCTCAGTCACCATGTCTGAGGCTTTCCAAATTTTATTCTTCATAGAGTGGCACGTGATAAATACCAAAGAACAGTTTAGTGATGTTTGTTTATTAATTACCAGATAAATGCTGGGTCTGACCAAGAACAGAGTTACTGAAATGCACCT